GCTTGGGTGAACACGACATAAGTGATATTAGAATTTTTATAGGACCTCAATATTCCGTCAGTCTATCTTAGAAATACGGTAAATGTACCTAATCGGATCTGTTTTGTACGCTTCGGCGACATATCAGGCGATTATAATTTGGTCGTATTTTGGCAAGGACTTAATCAAGCTAAAATACCCCTGGCGAGACCAATGAAGCCTGATCGGCCACCGAAGCGTACCAAAAAGACAAAATTAGGTATTTACTTCTTGGGTATTTACTGTACCCAAATACGGCCAAGTAAGCAAGATATCGTAGCCATAACAGGCCAGTGACTTGATATCACAGGATATCAGGTCAGAAACAACAACTCAATAGACCAATTTCGATGTATTAAAATTCAGCCTAAAACAATAGACCTCAATACGAAGCTGCGGGGAATAACTGCAGAGTTTGTGGAGTTTATTCCACGGAGCCTCGTGCTGAGGTCTATTGTTTTAGGCTGAATTTTAATATATCGAAATTGGTCTATTACAAACTCGAAAAATAGGTCCGCAATGCGTACCTGTGGGCTTATGCGTATTTTTATTCGATTCGGTTGGAGATTTTTGTTTCTAAAATATAAGTATCTGGGAGTTGAATTGCTACAAGTGAGAACGTGATCACTGGAAAGATAAAAGTGTAGAAATAGATGAATTATGTAACAGAGTTTTTTGGATTTCTGGTATCAACTTAGACAAGTTGTTACAACTTTTAAGTAGGACATTTATTGCAGAATACTGTTTACTTGATTGAATTTATATATAGGGTAGGCAGAATTGACGGATTTTCGTGAAATTTTGTCAAAACATTGCAGGGATAATGACAAACGAAATCGTGTCGGGAAATTTTGATATTTAACATGTTTTTCCCGTGGCGTCCATTTACGCAACCCATGTTACATATTTTTAGCTACAGCTTTAGATGCGAATATCTAGACAACCAATCAGAATACCGAAAAAGCCTGACACACTTTAGTTGATTGATGCCTTGTGAATAAGACTGTGCAGCCATTTTGCTCGTGTTGCAGGACCTGATAACCGATAAATTCAATAGAAGAACCCTCGTTCGCTTCACGCCTTACTGGCTACTGAAGTTCCCAAAATAACACCATGCGTTAATTGTATTTTTATCGTAAACTTCATAAAGCCTCTCTGTCGACCGAATTGCTTTGCGAGCGTTTGTTTTTGTTTTGATTCTGTCGCTGAAGAAAGCACCCAAAAAATCGAAAGGGTTTTGAGCATTGACGGTCTCAAATTTAATTTACTGGTAAAAAAAAAACAGATATAATTTGTTTGCTTCTGATGCCATTTGGCTCAGAACTGTCGTATTTTGAAGTTCTGTGACAAATGTCAACTAGCCTGCGTACCAAGCGTTCTCGTACGAAGAACTTTTCCGTATTCTGGCCGCGCGTAAATTGGAGCGAGAGCAAAAAATCGACGAAGCAGTGGGTGGTGAGGCGAGAGAGGGAACGCTTGCCCGCAGACCCCTCGATTTTGAAAAACGCCCTCTGGTTTTCACGGCTGAGTTCAATTATTGATTGACAACTTGTCGCCGATCGAGCGCTAAAATTGCATTTTTAATTCAGGGGCACCAAGACGGCACAAACACTGAAACACCCCCAAGTGTTCGGAAATAAAGGAAAGAAATGCTATAGATTGTGTTCATTGCCACCCGATAAAAAATACAATCAAAAACCATACAGCGGATAAAGTCAAGAAATTGCGATATTATAGACGATAAATAGAGAAGCCAAGTTGAAGGTGTTGTCCCGAAGTTGAGATATTCGTCGAAATGTTCAGCGCAAATTTACAGAGCCTAGTATGGAGCCGCCATGTTGGTGTTCTGTGCTACACCAATATGGCGGCCGGAAAATAGTGTTAACATCTGGAGCTTACTTTGGTTATCTGGGACGGTGATTATCTGCACTGAACACTCTTCCAAATACGACAACGTCTTAAATGGCTTAAAATCACGAGATAAATACATATTTTTCGACAAACGCGATCGTAGCTTTATTTCACGCTCCGCAATAACTTCGAATTTCAAAATTCGCTGGTTTCCTAACGAAGGGCGCTATTGATCTGGAAAGTTGTAAACAGATATAACTTTAGTACCTCTTATGCCTGTTGAGGATGAAAACCTTGGTGGCTCTTTAGTTTTCGACTGATTTAAGAATTTGATGACGTCCCGTGGAAACGCTCTTTGCTTACCTCAATCTTGTACCCTCGCCCAGGGTTAACCTCTTGAAATACGTCAAATGGGGCTAAAGGTAGTGCTCCAAAAGGTGGACTGTTTTGCCAACTAAGTATAAATCTCAACTGCTTGAAATCAAATCTGCTAGCTAACTACACCCACCAAGCAATGGTTCAGTGATTATAAAATTATGAAATGGCGCAAAACAGCGAAACACTTCAAGGCACCTTTTTTCATGCTAATCAAAGATTGTTTTCTAAACCCTCTTGGTTTCCATTCGAATGAAAATTCCGGTACTTAAAATTCCGGTTAGCTTGCGTGCGGACGTGAACGTACAAGGTATTATTCTTTTGCGTCGTCTCATTTTGTTGTGTAAAACAGTATCTCGCTTTTGAGATACCGCGAAAGCAAATTAAATTTTTGTGGATAATTCAAATTCTTTGTGCTGTTACGCTTCATAGAGATGGTCGTTTCTACATGAGGTAACAATCAGGCATCTTCTTGAGGGGGGTGAATAGGGCTATGCAAATCCGCCGATCCGTGTCTTTTTTTCGCCAAATCCGTCGTTCCGCCAATATTTTTGTTCAAATCCGAAACCACAACCACATCCGGAAACAGAAGTGTAAAAGTTCAAAGGTAAACTGGTAAATGTGAATGCCATTGTTAATTTTACACAAATAGTAAAGAAGGCAACATGCTTGATGACTATAACACAGTACAATTCCAGTAACAGTTTAAATGAGCTTTGTTGGAAAAAAGAAATAATTTGGATGAACTCAGTAACATACCGACCAAGGCTGAAGAAAGATCTATCTATGATCCAAATTTCGTTAGGACCCAACATCCGAACATCAAGACCGGCAGAATCCGGAATTCGCACCAAAATTCACAGCTGATCCACGATCCACTGTGTTTTCAAAATCCGCGAATCCGCTCGACTTACCGCAAAAATCCACAATCCACGCGCTTTTTAAGGCCAAATCCGTCGATCCGAAAACCTATTCAGCCCCCTCCTTCTTTGATACAGATATTTTATTTTTTGGATCGAAAAATGTGGTTTAAACATTAAACGATAAACCGGTAACTGAAGACCGGTGTCCAATTTGTCTTCATGTGTTGTATTCCTCTTTAAGGTTATGTTATGCTTGACATCTTCTATTCTACCGGTTTATAAGTTATCATAAAACGCCGAAAGTAACGATACCCCAAGGGCATCGTTGAAAAATTGTGACCGCTAGTGTGCCCTTCTCTATCTCGATAACGATAATCAAGGCACTTCACAACAAAGGAAGGTATCGCTTAATTATGCCACGAAGCACTGAAATGTCAATAGGCGATTTGCTTCTACCAGGATCCTTCACTTTTTCTGTTTCTTATGTTAATCAGGGCAATTATTTAAACCCCACTGGGTATTTAAAATAACAGGGAAAATGAATGGAATTCTGTTATTTGTAGTCAAATGACGACAACGTGCAAATCTGCTAGCAAACCTGAGTGGATCTAAACAGCAAGCAAACCGCGGAGACGTGTTAATTAACCATTTTAGTGGGCTGACCTGGTCTCGCTCATTGTTACTTTTATATAAAATGTCCCGAAATGTCTAACCTGGATCCGCCACTAGTAAGGTTTTCCCGAGTCTTAATTCGAGTCCTGGCTAGAATCCTGACTTGGTATTTAAGTATATTCTTTTTTAAAAGGAGTGTATTAAAAGGATCTTTTCTTTCAATTAAAATTGAAAACTCGGCCAGCGTACTGAGATATGGATAGAGCAGACTACAGTGAAACTGTATTAAGCGGACCCCATATTAAGCGGACACCCTCCCTATTAAGCAGACACCAGCTTGAGGAGTCCCTAATTTTTTTTAACACATTTACTGTAAAATAAACCTGCATTCACCGGACACCTCTATTAAGCGGACGCAGACACCAATATTAAGCCATTTTGTTGCACCTGCAACAAGCGGGCATTTTATCTCTAAAAGATCAGCTGAGACTCCTTTAACATTGTTCAGCGATGTCGTTTTAACACTGACTGGACATTGTGCTATGAGCAGTTTCTGATCACACACTGTTACACGATGTTGCAAAAGGGTTAATAATTAACTGCTATTGCACAACATATTAGAACCTGTTTTGAGGGTTTTTACGAGTTCCGTCAGATATTTCGTAAAAGAAGCGAGCCTCAAGGATTTCGAAAGTAACAAGAGTCGTTTGTTTCGTTACGTTTGATTTGGTTTCGCTCCGCAAAATATTGATATATTGTAAGAAAATTACCAAGGGACAAAAGCGATCAAGTCGATAAAACCCTGTGTAAACTCATGTATTAGACAGAGTATATAATCACTGTCCAGTGCAGGGAAAATTTCAAATCACTTAGCCCCGGGTCGCACTAGATCCAATTTTGTTTCTATAAGTAATAAATCTGTCAACAAGTGGGTGTCTGGAAACCCGAATAGCGAATAGCGAATAGTACGAAACAGTCGCGAATAGTGGCAAATAGAGGTGGGAGTTGTGACGAATGACAGAAATTTGGTACCTAATACCTCGCATTCAACCTTGCCAGCAACGTTCCCGCTAAAAAAGAATAGACGCTTATCAGGACAAATTAAAAGGTGTTTTTAAACGTAATTTCTTCTGTTTTCACCGCTGCAAAAGCGTAAATACGTCTTTATTATGTTATCTTTGTGCTCTCTGTTTTTGTTTTTTTAATGTAGGCGATGGACGGCCCTAGCCTGAGTCCGGAGAAGGAAAGGTAATGAATTCACTGAAATTCTGTTGCTTATTTGAATAATTAAATAACGCAAGATAAAGCTTAGATGTTGTTTTTATAACCGGTTACAAGAGCAGCTCGTTTGTGTCTTTTTAGTTGATAAACTAATTACAGAACCGTAACTCGCATCACATTTGTATTTTATTGTTTCTTTTTTTGTTTTTTTGTTTTTGTTTTTGTTTTTGTTTTTTTTCACAGAACGTGCTTGGTCCAAATCTATCAGCGTCCGCAGATAAACCCTATTGCTCCACGCGATCAATTTCAACGAATCCAGATTAGTGCTGAACTAAAGCGTTGACTATTGACGACTATTCGTCACTATTCGCGACTGTTCGCACTATTCGTACTGTTCGCTATTCGCTATTTGCGACTATTCGCTATTCGCTATTCGGGTTGTCCAGACACTTGCCGTCAACTGAGGTAGTGTAAAATAAGTGCGACCCCTAGTTACAAAAACTTGCCAAATTTTTGCCGATTGCCAAAATTTCGCCAATCTTCAAAGAAGCCGAAGTGCTACCTCGGAGGGTCCCAAATTTTGGCAAAGTAAACAATTTTGTTTTTTAACCATTAAACTGTCATATTTTTTAAAACATGTCTGGATAAAATTACGCGCTGAATTACGGCGAGAAAAGAACTTTGGTCGGCTAGTCCAGTTTGGCACATGCGATGGCGGGACAAAATAATTCTTAACCCGGTCCATCTGACGCTTTTTACAGTTATTTCAATGGAAACGAGAAATATTCAAATTCTTATGACTCGTACCTGTCGTACCTTGGATCTGGTTACTAACAGCAACTTGAAGAGACGGCGAAACAATCTTCTTCGTTCTCAGGTGGCGCAAGCAACAACACAAACGCAAGCCGAGCAAAAACTGCTCGTCCAATTATGGGCCGAAAACCACGAGTTGCTGGAGAGCGGAGAGTCAAGAACATGCAGCGTAGAGAAAAGTTTTAGTTTCAAACTCTCGCATAAAACCTAATGAAATACTAAAATATGAGAAATACTCCCAATATAGATCTTGCGACGTATATTTCAGTCAGTAACGTTTTGGTTCAAACAAGTTGGTCTGATGCGACCACTGCCAAAATTTCGAACTTCCCAAATTTTTGCCAAGTTTTTTCCTCGCCAAAATCGGAAATATCTGAATTTGTTCTAGTGGGACAAGGCCCTAATGTTAATCTGAGGTGCTTCAAATTTTCTTTGCTACTCGACTTACTTAGTATATTTTGGGGTCTTATTACCTCAATCGTCACGGTCCACGTTCTCAGGCGAAGTTCAAGTGCTCCAACTAAGCGAAAACGATGTTCCAAAACTATCTTGGATGTCTCAAAATTCTGTTAACCAACTACGTTCGCCTCGCAGTAATTGCCCAAGCTTAGTACGTGAGCGTAAAAATGAGCTCAATAACACATTACGAAATAGCGAAAATAGTCGTAATATAAAACTAGTGACTCACGTGCATGAGCTCCACCCCTCCCCCCCCCCCCCGGGTGGGGAAAGGTACTCCCTTATGTGGGTAGTATCAGGAGCCATAATCGGGGACGGAGACCGTAAGCGCGCGCCATTTCAAGTATTGGGGTTGTCCCCATGATATGGGACAATAATTCTATTTTTAG